TTCAGACAAAAACATCCGGCTACTGTCAGACGCTGTTGCTTCATCTGACATTTCATTGCCATCTTTTTTACCTCACGTCCTGCACCTGAGACCCCCCACAGGTCCAACAGGGAACAAACAAACATTTATTGGAAATGTTTCAGAACGACACCTTCATGAGTCGAAGTGAATTGGTTAAAAAGACTCAAAGTGAGACTCTAACTGCTCTCATCTCTTTCTGTCTCTCAGGTAACCGACATTCCTCCCCTGTACACCTCCCCCCTCCTCGTCCTGCTCCGTCCTCGCCCACCCATGAGCACCTGGAGTGGGACCCCTCCGTCGATATCGGGCGGTCCGTCTCCCACGACGACGCCGACTCGTCCTATTTCAGCGTCAGCGGAGGTAGGAAGTGACACGACGACCTCTTGAGTCTTTACTGGACAAAATGTAACTAAACTTTCCCTGATTGTTTGTGCTTTAAAGTCCACCATGAAGAACAGCTGATTTTTAATTATTGTGATGCTTTTTTTTTTACGGAGAAAGGTGGATGTTGCATTCCTCAAAATATGAAATTTAACAAGATGTAAAAATCTGATTTCAACCATCTCAACTCCTTCCTGCAGAGGTCGCTACTTGTTTGAGATAAGAGGGTCTGCTTTTGTTCTTCTTACAGCAGGTGATGCCCACCTTAAGTTATCGTGTGTGTGTGTGTGTGTGTGTGTGTGTGTGTGTGTTCAGGCCTGTGTCACAGAGACGGTCTGAAGAGGCGGAGCTACCTCAGCTCCCTCGGCTCGGAGTCTGATATCAACAATGACATCACCAACCAGGAAGCAGATGTGGTGAGTTAACAGATTCCTCAAAGATCCGCTGACACACTCTCTCACTGACTGACGGGCTGAGAGTACAGAACTGATCCCTACAGAGACCGACCTTCATGTTAATGACAAAGATGCTTAACTTTCAACAAACACATGTTGCATCTCCTCACTCAGAGACGGTCTGCTTCAGCCTGAAAGTTTGTGACTTCAGGTTTTTAAATCCTCCGACAAAAGATTTATGTTTCACAGAATAACACATTAAAAAAAGCAGTGGACCCAGAGAAATGTAAAGGAAGAGTGTGAGACTTTTTGATCCAGTAGATGTCGCCCCCTTGAGCACCAGCATGAAACCAAAACAAACTGCTGTTAAAGTGGGTGAGGTACATCAGCCCCTGAGAACAGACTTACTTGAATTCCATTGTGAGGAGATTGTGTTGTGATGTGTCTTTGTGGATAGACGAGTGAGAGTGACTTCTTTTTGTTCAGATGTTTGTATTTAGTTTGAGGTCAAATGAAAGGGAGCGCAACAGAAGCTTTTGTTGAGACGTGGCTTGATGCATTCATCTGTGCCATGTCTGTATCTTCATGTATTTATTATATATTTATATGTGAAGTGATTCATGCACATCTTTTTGAATCCTGGAGTATGACCTCCCTGATGATGAAAAAACTGAATTCAAGAAAAAGCAGCAGAGCAGGAAGTCCCCGTGTTTGAGTCTGGCTGCTTTGATGACGCTGATCTGATTTGTCTCTCTTGGTTACAAAACAATATATTTTTTCTCTGCAACAAAAGGGTTCGCTCTCTGTTCGGATCCTTACTGTGATGTTGTCAGAAAAACAATCTGAGCCTGTCAGAGGTAATAACAACAACTTTCAGAAGACACACTTTAACAGGCTCCATTTTTAGATCGCACACGTTGTCATTTCCCTCAGTGTATTAACCCACGCTGCTCCCATCATGCATCCTTTTCTGACACTATTTTGGTCACGTTAACACATCGACAGGAGGCGTTTAAATGATCTGATGTCATCGTGATATACTGACATTAAACCTCACAGCTGACATATCGGAGCGACGACACATCAGACCTAAATTTAGACGCAGTGTGTGTTTATTTATTTTCTTCATATTTCATTGTACACTCGGTCGTTTGTGTTGTTCTCTGACCCAGATGCCACACAGCCCAGAGGCTCCGTCTGCCTGTCAGTCTGGATCTCACACACACACACACACACACACACACACACACACACACACACACACATACAATCGTTGAAGTTCTGATACTGCAGTGTCTGCTTCTTGAACTGGTTACTTCACTTCACTTTCTGCTGATCTAATGACGACACCTGCCCTCGTCTACATGTTGTCATGTATATCAGTTTCCTTTTTTAAAGCTCTTATTTTGAAAAGACACAGGAGTGGAGGAGTGTGTCATCAGCTGTGAGACACAGAAATGCGGAGCGAAGTGAGGAACAGAAAGAGATAAAAATGAAAAAAGATGATGGGGACTGATGGGGCGAGGACATAAATTTAAAACTTTGAAGTAATTTCGGTTTCCTTCTCCGCTTGGCTGCAGCTCAGCCCCGCTCTGTGTGTGTTTCTGTGTCACACACACACACACACACACACACACACACACACACACACACACACACACACACACACACACTGTTGCACTGTGGGTGAACCCTGAAGCTCAACAGGAGAGGAGACGAACACAGACACACATGTACAACTGAATTAACATCTGATTACAGCTGCAGCATCCCAACAAAGACATCAAAGTGTGTGTGTGTGAACTCTGCCACCCTCCTGTATTTCCATCTTTTTCTTACGGTCTTATTTATTATTGGACTGATAAAGGCGAGATACCAGCACGTCCTCCCTGCAGACTCAGCTCGCCGCTGTCTGCCCAGGGACTTAAGAGTGGCTGTACTTCATTAAATCTGCAACCGGTTGACCTCGTCTCCGGGTGCTCGTGTGCTGCATGAATTCTGAACGCAGCTCAGAGAGGCGCCTGCAGAGTTTATTCTCTGCAAAGATTTCTATCAGTTTCAAGCTCTTACAATTCAAGCCTTTGCACTTTAACTGAAAGTTATTTAAAAATTACAGAATACATAAACTAACTGGTCCTGGATTACAGCTCCTCTCTGTCTGTCTGTGGTCTCACGTTTTAAAAATGCGGTGCTTTGAGCGGAATGAATGAATGAAACACATGGCTGTGTGGAAAATAGAAAAACTGGTTTGTATAATTTGTAAACAATCAAATCCTCTTAAATCCCGGTTGCAGACGGAGCACTGAGGGAATGCTACTTTCAAAATCATGCTAGTTTTTCAAAAATCAACCCTGCCTTCAACACATCACATGAATAAGAGATGCTTCACTTAAACAACCATATATATTTTTTAAATCGTCAGATCAGTGATTTATGTCGGGTGTAACTGAGCTTATTCAAAACCACTGCGTTGTTTTTCTGTTTTCTGCGCAGCATGCGGAGGGACGCCTCGACCACGCCCACTCCAGTGTCTTCTCACCAATGCCGTTGCAGGAAGGCGGGACGTGGTTGAAAGGAGACCAGTGGTCGACCTCGACTCCTGACAGAGAAACTAGCTTTGATGGCGGGCGTGTAAGGGCGTGGCTGGGAGATCAAAGCCCCGCCCCTCCTGTGAGGAAGACTTCCTGTTGTAAAGCCGTGCAGACTGACGCCGAGGTGGAGGTGGGTGAAGTCAACGTCAGTCACGCTTCTTACTTCACTTTTTTTCAACCAGTATTGACGGAATTTGTTTTGGTGCTCCTTGGCGCTGATGGACGATCTCAGTGTGTTCCTGCACTGTTGTTAAACACAGTACAGAGAAATATTCAGCTTGTTTTTATGGAGCTTTCATTGTTGCAAAACGGTTTGCAATTGCATAAAAGGTGCATTCATTATCTCTATTTACAGATGCTACATAAAAAAAAGTAGAATTTGCACTCTGTGTGTGTGTGTGTGTGTGTGTGTGTGATCCCCCTCAGCTTTTTTTTTTTTTTTTAAGATTTGTTTTTGAGCTTTTTGTGCCTTTTAATTGAGAGACAAGACAGTTGATAGTCGGAAATCAGGGAGAAAGAGAGAGTGGGGAATGACATGTGGGAAAGGAGCCACAGGTCGGATTCGAACCCGGGCCGCCCGCTTGGAAGACCACAGCCTCCGTACATGGGGAGCGCGCACTAACCACTGCACCACCAGCGCCCCGTCTCCCTCAGTTTTACCCAGCATTGTAAAGAGACATTTCAGCAAACACACACTGAGTGATGTCCTCTCTCACTCGCAGCTCTATCAACATTCATAATCATCAGCCTGTATTTTCCCCGCTCATCCACCTTTTGTAAAGATGGATTCCTGAATAACCGTCCTCCATCCCTCCTCTGTTTTCTCATTCTCGCCGGCTTCTTGTTTCTCTCTCTCCGTTAGCCTCACTCTTTATTTCCTCTCCCTCTCTCTCTCATTACCGTCGAGCCATCTATTTACTCTCCTCTTCCTCCGTCGCTTCCCGGGCCCGCTGAATGAATCCATAAAGTCTTGATTTATGCATCGAGTCTGGCTGCACTTTTACTGTCCCCATAAAAACAGGAGAGAAACACACAGACTTCCTCCTCTCCTTCCCTCCTCTTTACTTCCTCCCCTCCCAAATCTTGGTCTTTCCTCTGTCTTGAGTTACGACCGTTTACAGATAACGGTCCACGTACAGGAAAAGGAGATAAACAGACGACGGGCAAAGAGGAAGAAAAGTTAGCCGATGAGTTTCAAATCTGATAACAAAGTGTGTGTGTGTGTGTGTGTGTGTGTGTCCGCATTATAATTAGAACGATTTGGTGCATAGTAATTTGCAATATGCGAGTTTGATTGAATGCGTGTTTGTGCGTAATAGCATTGGCACTTTCTAATGGAGGTTCATTAACTGACGAAACTATCGAGCGAGCACCAAACAAATTGGAGCAGAAATCAACCTGCAGAAGTGAAGAAGAGAATCAAGAGTGTGATCGATGTTTTGGAGCGGCGCGTATAGAAACCGAGTAAACTCCAGTGAAGTTGAATCTGAAGCACTCTCTTCTTTTAAGTATGCTCCTCTAACAGCTCTTTAGTGAAGTTTTTGCCCTTTTTAATGGAGGTGGAGGAAATCTCATGATCGATGTTTTGTGTTGAAATGGAGTCTGGAACATCATCCAGAGGCTTTTGTGTCCTTGACAAACAGCACAAATAACTCGGTAACGGTAATGAGGCTGCAGATCGACAGCACTTTTACATGCACGGCTAAGTGGAGTTGAACTGCTCAGTTGACCTTACTCTCCTTGTACCAGTATACGAGGACAGAGGGAGAATTGATAGTATGTCCAGCTCTCCACAGTAGGTGGCGATATACATCCTTTCAGCTAGTTACTTTTGGACCTTCTTCCAGTTGACCCTTCTTACAAGTTAGCAAGCGGAAAACTGGTTGTACATGGAATGGTGAAAACATGAACAGCTTTACATCGTACATGCTCTACGCGTTACTTTTTGGTTCAAATGCACGTTATCCCTCTAGCCTGCTGTGATATCAGGCAGGCGCTGACCTGACTTCTGCTACACAATTATGCAGTTGGACTACTGGGTCAAAGCCAAGTCCAGTTTGGGTCTGATTGAGGTGAATGTCTATGCACGAGTTAATTGATAGGTGTGTTACACCAACATTTTAAAATTAGTAAGATTTCATTCAGACTATTCTTTACATGCATTTTAAAAGTCAAGTTTTAGTTGAGTAACATAATAAACCAACATTTTCTAACTGCAGATGAACGTACTGACTGATTATTCTTTAGATTTATTGGATTTTTTCTGAGGAATTATTGATGGAGTCATGTCCATAACTTCAACCAATCAATGAGTGGACATGTTGTTATAGCACCTAGCTCTTCTACCATCAAACCATATTTCCAACTAACAGATCTAGTTTTGAAGGATTTTTTCTTCTGAACAGCTGCCATGTTTTCTTTGGTTTAAAATTGAGAATCAAAGAATCTTTGAGTGTTAATTGTTCTGTTGAATTGGTTATTAGTAATCAGTCCTACAACTTTATGGGAAGGTTTTTAAGCTTGAACTGATTAAACACTTTCCAATCTGAATGAATTCCTTTTCTTTCTGCTTAATTTACAGCGTTACTTTGATGGAAGCCACATTGGTGCAACCAGCAACCAACTCTGCCATGATTACACCCAGCAGCCTTTTCCTGCCCCCTCCCCTTCATCCATACATGACCCAAACACTTCCTCTGACGGGCTGAATCAACAACACGGGCCAAATCTTCAGGTGAGTCGATGGTGTCTTAGATCATGCAGCAACAGTTCAACAACAATTATTATGGGGACAACAGTTGTGTGTTGGAATTTTTACATTTTGGAAGCCACCATCTTTGTTTTTTTGAAGTGGCCGTATTTGGACAATAGCTTGTAAGTAAGAAGGGAAGTTAGCCTCTTGGTTACAAAGAGAAAGAAGTACCCAAAACCAGCATTTTTTCTAGTGGCCAACACTCCGCTTGTGAGTGTAGGCAAGTCTAAAAGAAAATGGGCTTTGTTTTCACTTCACATCAGTGAACATTTTCCTAATGAGGTTACTGTCCCAATCTTTAGCATCAAGTTTCTTTCATTAGAGCACAATGTTCATTTTTAAAGTTAAGTCCCATTTAGAGCAGGGGTGGCTGGTATAAATGGGCTAGCAATCTGCTCTCAGGTATGTCTTGGTCTCGGTTTGTGTGGTCTTGACTACAACCCTACTTCTTATGTTATCTTTTTAATATAGATGGATAAAGCTAAAGAACTAACATTTACATCCTGCTCTGATATCGCGCTGATTTAGCGTAAAGACGAAAAAAGAACAACAACAACAAGGTGTGCTTTAGGGCATGGCTACCTTGTTATGATCAAGTCACTACCACTGCAACATCAGAGGTTTCAGTTATAATTTGGTTGAACAAAAAATCATTTGCAGTCAGCTGTTAATTTCTTCAGTAAATATGAATTTTCCGATGCTGTTTTAAGCTAGACAAATATTAGCATTATATATTTAAGTTAATTAGTTACTCTGTCATTCAAACTGGAAACTTCTGGCTCTAAAGAAGTGTTTTAAACATGTTTATTTCTGCTGTAAAGTTTGAATTTAAACTAGGGGTCTATGGGAAATGACTGACCTTTGAATCCAGCCTCCAGTGGTCATTTGAGGAACTGCAGTTTTTGGCAGAGGTTGATTAATCAGAGATTAGTTTGATGTTTTTAGCTGTTGCTTCCCTTGAAAGAGGCTTCTTATCATCAGAGATACTCAGCAGATTGTTTCAGTTTGGAGTAAATAAGTGGTTTTGATTGTTTATTGGAATTCATCCACATTTATAAGAAGTAGTAAAAAGAAGTCCTGTTGCTCCTACCCTTAAGGAAGACATGAACTCTGTGTGTGTAGAGGTATTTTTCCTTAAAAGTCTTATACAAGGTTGCCTGAAACCTCTGAGGAGTAACAGAAGCTTTTTGTTCTTCAGGTTGAAGAAGAGCAGTCCAGTTGCGAAGAAGCCGAGCGCAGTTTCTCCGAACAAAGGTGAGAAACATAGGAACTTTTTTGAGCAGATACACGAGCTGTAATTTGCAGATATCCTGTAAAACCACAGAGATGAGCAGAACCTTGTACTTTTTTATGGAGAAAACTTCACACAGTTAAGGATTAGCATGTTTCTCTTTGGGTTGTAAGCAGGTTTAGTTTTTGCATCTGTGCTCGTCCATCTTGCCTGTTTTCATATTTGACTTTTATGTATTTAAGAAACTCTGTGTTTATTTTAACAAAACAACAAGAAATGGGAAAATCAGTGTATTTTATAAAAGATCAAAGTATTCTATTCAAGCACCTGAACGGCATTTTCTAGGATAACTTCAAATTAATTCAATAATGAGGTCGCTATAAAGTCTGGGGGTGCGTCCAGAGTGTCGATTTGGGGTGACCATCGACCTATGCAGGGGTCTCATCACGTTTGTGCACACACATGAATAAATAGCATTTATCTACTTTACTCACATTAAAGTTTCATTCAAATGTTACATTCCTGTGTTTATTTATTCAGCTTTAAAAAATAAGACAATGTAGAGGCGACATTTGAATCGTCTTAGCTTCATTCTTTGAGGACTAAATAAGACTGAAGTCAGTTTTTTAATATTTAGTAATTGCAACAAAACCTCCTAAACACTTACAAACTTGCAAGGATACATTTATTGGCAATGTTTGTGCACCTCTGCATTGCCGATTAATGATATTTTGCACGTAAGACAATTTGAGAGTTTGCTTGCAATTAAGTTTTTATCATTCACACCTGTCTAATAATAATAATAATAATAATAATAGACTTTATTTGGCATGGACATCACAGATACATTGGACGAACCAGATGCATTGTTTAAGTGTTTTAGCAAGCTTGCTAGTTCTCAACACCGGTCCACAGGAGGCTTTAGAAAGGAAAACAATTAAGATAGGGAGAAAAGTGATAAAACAGTGAAAACAATAAGGAGAGAATAAATAATAGACATAAACTGTAGAGCAAAGGCAGCATGATCAAACAATAAACCAGTCAGAAGCTATTCATGTGAGCACTGCTGTTTTGATTTTAGCCATTGTTTGAGTAATGAAATACTTTGGAACAAATCTAGCAGCCTGCTGCCACACAGCTCTACATATTTGAATTAAACAAATCACGACTCTGAGAAAGCAAACAGCCAATCATAGGTTAGGATTTTTGGGTGGCTTCTGGATGGCAAATCAGATTTCACGTGGGGCACCTTGCCACCCTGGACACCTCTAGGGGAAACCCCTGCTCCAGACAGCAAGAAATGAGTTGCTGAAAAATCACATTGAATTAACCAAGTTAGCTCTCTTGTTCTGTTTTCTGCTTGTTTTATTAAATCGAGGAATAGTATAAGAAAACATCCTTAGAAATCAGAGCTTAGACTTCACTAAACTCCAACAATCGCCTCAGAAGTGTCTCCCCTGTAGCCATGTTACATATTCTGATCCAGGACTCAGGACCATTATTAGATTACAGACCAATAAAATAAGGAATTACAGTTTTGTTTCCCCCAGTGAATGACTTAAAGTGCTTCCAAAGTTTTCTCTACACTGCCATAAATTAGATTCTGTTGAATGGAGGAATGGATGGTGCTGTATATATTTACCTTTTTAATTTGCCCCAAATATAATCTGATTTAAAGGCCCAAGAACAGAAAGAAACTTCAGTGATGTCCGTGTAATTTAAATCCCTGAATTCAGTTCTGGCACAAAGTAGGAAGACGGCTGTCGCTGTTTTCCTCCAAAACTTCCACTTTGTGCCTAAAATATTTTTTTTATGGATGGTAAGAATTTTGAGAAATGTAACCGTTAGAAACCAACACCTCCATCTCTTCCCCCTCCTCAGTGTGACCTCCAGCAGCCCGGCCCCCTCCTCCTCTTTCCCCTCCCCCACTCTCCTCTACCTCCTCCTGCCTGCAGCTCTGGTCCTCCTGGCCTGTCTGATGTGGGTCGCCCTGGAGCCGCCGTGCCAGCGCAGCAGCAGTTTGCCTCGGAGCTTCCACCTGGCCCTCAGATACGTCAACGGACCCCCGCCTACCTGAAGACCTTTCAGAGACTCTCACAGACAGAGTTTGAACAAAGCACTTTTTTCTCAGGATCTCTAGGACGAAGGTTTGCAGCTCACCGTGTCAACAAGTTGCTCATTTCAAATTCCCCACAAAGATTTAAATGTTTGACAGAAATCTGCAGAAACATCAGGAGGAACCCTGAGATGATTAGAACTCGACTGAAGGTGTTTAACATGCCTCAACAATCACAGAAACAGAAGTTCTGTTTTCTTTTCCCACTGTGTGTTCACATCATTATCATGGAGCTTACATCATCTTTTGGAGCTACTCATCTTCTCCAGCTACTCATGGCCGCGATCATGCTCCAGAAAAGCACCCAGTGGCACATGGCAAAACCAAGACGCTGAAGTTGACAGTGCCTTTCCAAAAGTTTACACTCTGGAACCAGTTTTCCAAAAAAACTTGTAGTTTAAACAATCAGCCAAACATTACAAAAGGTTTCTGTTCTTGACATAAATCGTCTCGTACAGGTGGACTTACTTTGAAACTACGGTTATCATGTGTTATTTTGACAGAATTAGGAAGTATTCAGTCACACATTTAAGCTCAAGTATAGCTTCATAAGACGCTCCTCATTCAATGAAACATATGAACAAGTACGACTTAAATCTTGTTAAATCACGACCCTCATATGAATCTGTAACTGCCTTGTTCCACCACAACAACGCGCTCCTGATATCTCACTTTGTTGTGGAAAAGATTGTAAAAAAGCAGATTCTGGTTGTTGAACTGATCTGTGCTAATGTAGCTAAAGTTAATGCAAAGGATGCAGCTAATAAGCTAGCTTCATGCCTTAATGCCTGTAATGTGTCTGATATCAAAATGATGAGTGTGTGTGTGTGTGTGTGCCTCGTTACACTGGGATAGCACTTGGATTGGATTCATGAAGATGTCCACAGAACAAGTCGGTGCAGCATGACGAGTTAGGAAACGTTTTCCAGTCAACAACAAGTCTAAGAGACGTTTTTTTTTTTTTTTTGACTGCTGACCTTTTCCTGAACCTCCAAGGCTTTAAGAAAAAGAGTTTTCTTTATTCGTCCAGTCTTTACTTGAAGCTCTCTTTAAGACAAATCTTCCTGCAGAGACTTAAAACAAACCTGCAGCAGAGAGATAATCTATCACAGCAGAGATCCGGCCCGTTGTTTGTTTGTTTGTTTGTTTGTGTGCTGCGTTGGTGCAGTCTGAGCTCTTAGAGGCTCACACATGATGGATGACATACTTTGCAGTTATAGTTTCATGTTTCTGCAAGTTGAATTTTACACACACACACACACACACACACACACACACACACACACACACACACACTGTCCTGAGTGTTTGCACAGGTTTATGTGGAGTCCCTGTTCAGAGCGCTTACAGGAGTAAGACGGGGGGAAGCATCGAGTATAAAAGTGATGAAATGTGTGGAGTGATATCTATTAAAGAGTCTGAAGCGTGTAAAACATCTGTGCAGACTCAGAAAGGGAAGAATGTCAAGATTTATTCTAGGGTGCGTTCACACCTGAGTCGTTGCTCTTTGTCGTTTTTGGTTTGGGATGATATGAACTCGGTAACGAACTCTGGTGCGGACCAAAGAACTGAACTCTGATCCATTTAAAAACAGGGGTCTTGGTTCCCTTCCAAGTTCACCACCAGAGTGCACAGTGCACTGTGGGCTGAATTTGGCCATCTGCCAACAATGTCTGATAGGTTGGCAGCGCGGGGCTGACGTTAACATAGCATTGTGATATCTTGGATTAAGATTTGAATCTGGACTTGTCAGGTGAATGTTTCTTAGACTAACTTTAACCTAAACCTAAATTAGATTAGAACACACTTGCATAGATTTATTTTTTTCAGTGCACATGCACCGCTCTGTTCCGCCGTTCAGCCTCCGATGTTCTGCAGCGATCCCGTCCTGCTCCTGGAATGTCTCAGTTATGATCTTTGATGCTGGTGTTTGTGCAGAGAAGTTCATGCCAGTTGTGACACTTCCACCTGTTTGTCCCCGAGATTATCGAGGTGTATGTTATTCTCAGCAGTCATACATTTTTTATCAGAACAACGGCACAGCGGTGGGACGACTTTGTCTCACTATATCGTTAGCTGACTTGCTCTTGAGAATCTTCTAAACATTAATGTTTTAATCACCGACAGGATCTGAACATTACGGAGATGACTCTTCATGTTGAGAAAAGGTGTTTGTTTATGAGCAGAAGCAGCTGTTAAATTTGTCTCTTCAAAGCCACCAGACTCCTTTCACAAAAACAATCATTTAACCCCGCACAACACGGGAGTTGATGATCTACCGCTGCATACAGACTTTGTGATATTCTCTGATTTTGTGCAAATATTGGCGCTTTAAAAGGTTTTTTTTTAGATCCAATGCAAAAACATAACACATCAAAACAAACTCCTCAATGCAGCGAAACAAATCCAACACATGCATGTTGTTGAAGGTAAAATCAGCATTTTATTCAATGGAGTCCGGTGGATTTGACGACCGGATGAAAACGGCTATTTCTGATTAAAAATATGATCTTTCTCTAAGAGTTGACCTCTGCAGAGATCCTCTGTGTAAAATCTGAAAGACACATTTTAGTGTGCATGTTTAGATTCTCAGGGCGTGTTGAGACCCTGATAATCGAGATTGCAGACGTATCAGTTTGTCTTGTATATAGCCCAGGTTTGAGAATAGCAGATCTGCTGCAGCGATAATTATTTGATGTAGTTGTGACTGAAGAGTGGAGTAGAAGAAGCCGTTTGATGGAGCTTCCTCACTTAATGAATCCTCCATGTCTGGTGTCCTGAGGGGATGGTGTCACTCCGGGTTGCATCAAGTTTTAATATCAGGAGGATTCATTTCAACCTGCTGTCTGCAGGTCTCTGCATGAAGAAGATAAAGGTGAACGTTTAAAGGCTTCCTCAGTAAAGGGAACTTGCTCAACAAACTGCTGCATACAACATTTCGCTTTTTGTACTTGCTTTTGTTTTGCTTTTGTACATGTTTAAAAATAAGAAATAAAATGAAATGTATGGATTA